AACTATTGTATAATTTTTTTGAAATTTTTTTATTTAAAAGTTTAGTTTTTAAAGATTTTAAATATATTTTTTATTTAATTAATATTTTATTAATTTAATTTAATTTTTAATTTTTAATTTTTAAAGTTATTCATAAACTTTTGTCCACTTACTGTAAATATATATAAAATTTTAATAAAACAATTTAAATATAATAAAAAACATTTTATAATTTTTTTATAAATCAAATAATTTTTTTTAAATTTTATAATATATTTTTTTAGAAAATTATTATAATATTTTCCATCTATAAATCATATATAAATATTAGTCAAAAATTATTTAAAGAAATTTTTTTTAACTTTTAATCAATAAATTAAACCAAAATTATTAATTAATTACTAAAAAAACTTTGATATTATATTATTTAAATTTTAAAAAAGCTATATTTAAAGTTTTATATTAATCGAATTATTATTTATTAAATTATAATAATAACAAAAAACACAATTTTTTTTGTTACATACTGTATATACATATAAATCAGTTTTTATACTGGAATATATAACTTTAATATATTATTTCAAAGTATAATTTTTAAAATAAATAAAGTTGTTTTCTATAATAATAATAATAATTAAATAAATAAAAAAACAATAAAAAAAAATAGATTATAAAAAAAATGAACCAATTATTATTTTAACATATTATAAATTAAATTTAAAAATTTTTTTTTTAAAAAATCATAAAATATTGAAAAAAATTTGAAAATGAAAAAATAATGATATCAAAAAAATTCTTTAAAAAATATAATGAAATATAACAATTAAAAGCTATTAAATTAGATTGTAATGATAACTATAAATTATAGAATTATAATTTTTTATTTACACATAATATTTGAGAACAAATATTTAATGTTTAAGTATATAATGTAATTAGGCTTATTTTTTAATTAATACAATTGCTTTCTTATAAATATTAAATAATAAAAAAAATATAACTTTATTGATTATATAGTTTTGTTAAATTAGTCGTATAAATTTAATTAAATAAAAAATTTTCTAAATGCACAGATAATTTTGAGGTGCTGTGTATAGCGTCGTGGGGTAAAAAGTAGACGCAGTAACGTGACACGCCGTCGCGCTACGTAATTAGGATCGACGGAGAGGTGAGAATCCTAGAATAGTGTAGAATAGCATGTATAAATACATGCGTAATTCAGTAGCATTTAAGCAGATTTTAGAATACGTCAGTAATAAACAATAAAGTACAGTTTAAAATAAACTCTTACCTTGTTTTCAAGTGCGCCTGAAATACTTATAACTCGTGCTACACGACTAAGCGAGAGAACCAAGGTTTGCCTAAGGGATTTGGCATAGGAAGGGTTCTAGATTAGTCGATAGAGAGGTTAAAGTAAAGACCGACCAAATCGAAGACACGTCCAAGAGTAAAGAAGAAACTTACCTTATTGTTAACCAAATGTAACGAAAAAGCATTGTGGGCTCGCCGGATAGCCCACGACAATAGAAATAAACCGCATGGGTATACGTATTTAATAGTTACAGTATAGTTATATTTTGTGTCGTGTAACGTCATGCAATGCATATATAGCATTACAGCAATAGGAAATAAAGAGATCAAATATGTCACTTTATGGTTCTTGTCCCGAATGTAATCAAAAATTTTCATCACACGAATGGTGCATGTTATGTAATGAAAATCGTTTTCAACGGGATTTTGATAAATGGACAAGTGGAAATAAAAGAATCGACGAATTCATACAAAAATCTCAACTTCAAGCTAATTTTAGTAGTAATGTATTAGAATGGATACCATATACACGATTTCAAGATGTTAAATATATCGCTAAAGGAGGATATGGCACTGTGTATTCTGTGACATGGGTAGATGGTTTTATTGAAAAATGGGATGTTCTCAATAAGAAATGGGTTAGGCCATGTCCTAATATAAAAGTGGCATTAGAAAGCTTAGAAAAGCTTAGCTCAGTTGAAGATCTTATAAATGAGGTAAAGAATTAAACTCGTTTAACTATAATTTTATTATTAATATAATTATTTAAATTTTAGATTGAGAAGCATTCTATTCTATGGTTCACTGATGTCGTTAAGTGTTATGGAATTACGCAACAACCCGAGTCGTTATGCTATGTGATGGTTTTAAGTTTCAAGAAAATGGGAGTCTTAGGAATTACTTGGACAAAAATTTTTACAAGATGGATTTAAAATTAAAATTGGATTCATTGCGTCGTATTTCAGCAGGTTTAAATAAGATGCACATGAATAAACTAGTTCATAAAGATTTCCATCCTGGAAATCTTTTATATGATCGTTATTTACAACCTTATATCTCAGATTTAGGTATTTGGAAACTCGACTCGTAAAGAAATTTATGGGGTTCTTCCATATATTGCACCAGAAGTCTTGTGCGGTAATGCTTACACACCGGCAGCAGATGTCTATTCATTAGGAATATTAGCATATGAAATTATTACAGGATTCCCACCATACTAAAATATTCCTCATGATCAAGATCTTACTGTAAAAATCTGTCAAGGTTTACGTCCAAAAATTCCATTTAAAACTCCAACATTTTTAGTTAGATTAATAATTAATAATGCAATGTTGGGATGCCAGGCCATCGAACCGACCTGATGCTAAAGAAATATGGCACACTATAAACAATTGGATTATATTGATCGAAAGAGATGAACCTTCGGATTTTAAAGAAAAAGTTAAAGATTACCAAAGTGAAGTTTTAAAAAAATCACCAAATAATAACTTGGGACTTAATTACAAAACGCACCCAAATGCTATTTATACTAGCAGGCTTTTGAATTTTTCTAATTTATCACAATCAACCAATGCCCTTAATTACGATCAAGCACTGGAGGTGAATACTGTTAATAGTATAACGTTCATGGCATTTCTAAATTTTTATTGACAAATTTTATTTTAAAACCTTGTGCATCAGACTCAGGTTTAAATCGACTCAAATTATTGTAAATTTCCTATGATATTAGAATAACTTTTTCATATTGTATTGTGATTTAGTTTCATCTAATGCTTATAATTTATTTGCGTTAGATGTTGCAGGAAAACTATTTGATTTTAAATAAAATGTTTAATTCTAACCTGTTCCTTTAACCACTGTACAATCAAACCTTTCCTATTTCATATCAACGCTTTTTATTTCGCGTATTATGTGTAAATAATAACTTTCACGATAACCATTTTTTCATATAAAATTGTATGAGAAATAATCAGAATGCGACTATCTCTGGCAAGTTTGTGACGATTTTGAAAACAAAAAAATAACTTACTGCGCTCTCATGACAAACAATCCGATCGTGATACGATAAATTTCGTTGCTTTGCCTCGTGAGAAAAAATTTCCTTTCAGCAGTATCTCTTTTCGCTTGCAACTACTTCTCCAAATAAAATGGCAACAGACACCAACCAGGATGGATATTCCTTTGTTCGAACTTTTAGCAATATTGGTGGAGCAAGCGCTAAGTCTAAAACCACTGCGTGAGTAAATATGTGTAACTGGTATTTCTCTAATCTTTCAACTAATTTTCCAGAGCTATTCTTTTTTGATGTTGTTCAAAAGAGATTGCCTGAATGCCACTATTATAGAACCTTATGGTGGGAAAAAGGCGATTTTCACCAAAAAGCGAATTGGGAAGAACCCTACTTTTTTGACGTTGACTCGCTATTTTATGATCTAGTGATATAAGCCAAGTTTTTCTATTCGTATCAAGGCTTCTCTACAAACTTGCTGTTAATGTTACCTTGGAAAAATATGAAAAGCGGTCGGACGAGTTTAATATCCGTCGATGTTGGGAATGGGTTAACGGCGATGTCATAATCTATGAATTACCCTCAGAACCACATGAAGTTTATATTCACAAAATTTCTAAGGTAATAGGTATTGCTTGCAGAAATGTTGATGATACTCCTGCTGAAATTTATGTTTTTGGATCAACTCGTAGGTATCATTCATTAATTCTCTTTACTTTATGCTTATTAAATTAAATACCAATTTTAATTGCAAAAGGGATATATGCTGATGGTTCTGCAAAAGAGGTCGACAATTCATTTCGTCCGAAAAAACCAGAAGTAGAATTTCCAAACAGAATCGATAAAGGAGTACCTTGTGTTTTTTTCATTAAACACCTTTAAACTAGAGGGTCATATTATATTCTTTTGTTTTTTAGACTCGCCCATGGCCAAATCTGGTTATAGAAGTTGCATATTCCGAGACAATAGATCATGTTACAGACAAAGTGAAAAAATTATTTTATTAATTATCATATAATAACGTACTTTTTTTTGCATATAAGGCTCTTTTTGTTTTTTTCCTACTACCGATAATTTTTTAAAAAAAGAATTAGTCTAATTAAAGGTCGAATAATTAGGATTTTTTTTTCGTATATATTGGTTTTTTTTTTTTTTTTTTTTTTTTTTTTTTTTTTTTTTTTTTTTTTTTTTTTTTTTTTTTTTTTTTTTTTTTTTTT